GTTAGGCCTCGCATTTCGTTTTCTTAGCTTCTGCCAGGGAGAGGGGACTATGAGCAAACTCGGGAATTCAAAACAGTATTGTAATAAGCCCCTGTCCTCAAGCCGGGATACGTTACCCGACCCCATCTGTTTATATTCTGGCTCGCCCGCTTGACGGTTGATTGTGGCGTGAAGGAAGTAAAACTAAAACGAAAGTAAAACAGGCTGGGCGTTTAAATTCAATTAAAGCATTAAGAATTCACTAACCGTCGAGGACTATAAACGAAATATATTTTTGGCACTCTCTTATTGCTCAAGCAGTATTATTACAAAATAATTATTTCAATCAATGTTAGCTTTACATGTGTATATTATAATATTTGTTTTCTTTCACTTGTTTGGCATTTTGTTCCAAGATCACCTCGATGACTTCATACGGCCTTTTGCATAGTAATTCATAGGATTCTTTATGTTTACTTTCTCCTTCATCTATAGTTTATCAGCAATCGAGATGTTTCGTTCATTTACAACTTTGTCATATTTTTCTTTGGTCATTGATTTTATTTTTAACGAATAACTCATTGCGAATAATGCATTGTTTTACAAAAATATTTATCGTATATAATACCTCTTCATCGTTTATTTCATTTAAGACATTAGCTTTCACAACTAAGAACTAATTCAATGGTGTAAAACCGGTAGCTGTATGTATTGTACGTTTTGTACGTTTTGTACATATGTGTAGAGAGAGAGACAGTAATTCTGTCCATACTACTACTATTGATTTGTAGAAATTTCTTGAGAATTGCAGGCATTCGTTTAATATTAACATTCCAGATGGAAAGGCGAACTTTTCAAATGTTAAATAAGTGTATAAATTGTTGAGTTAATTCACTAACAAAATTCTGTCCGTTATTTGATTCGGTGTACCAAAATGGAAAACGTAGTATTTTAAAAAATTATCAATAGTAGATTCTTTCATTGGCTTTTTCTAACATGTTGATCGTTGCGTCACTCAGATCTAGATGACGGCTATGTTTACGTCGAAGGCGGTCACCGAACTATGGATGACGCTTTTTTTCATTCAGTTATGTCAGAATTTTTCAAGTATTTTACAAAAATTTTATTTATAACACAAGTAATTAATAGCATTTTAATTGGCACATATAAATGTGAAATATACAAAATAATAAAATAATAAAAATGTATAAAATAAAGTAAAAAATTAAAAAATTTAAAATTGTCCCGAGATATATAATGTTTCAAATATTCGGTTAATACGTTGTGCGAATTTGTGATATGTAGAATTTTTTTGCCACAGATTTGAAAAGAGAGCTCATAAAATTGGACCCTTGATCAGTCAGGATTGCTTTAGGAGCGCCGAATTTGCGAATAAACGATTTAACAAATGCGTCGGTAGTGGCGCAGACTGTAGGCTGTTAGATGGGCACGGCGAGAGAATACTTGGTAAGGAGAATACTTGGATGGTCAAAATGTAACTGTTGCCGGAAGGGATGGTCGGGAGTGGACTACGTGTAAGGACATTTTATCGAATGTCCTACCTGGCGTGTCCGTGAGGGTCATAGATTGTCTAGTTTTTACACGTGTTAATTTTTGCAACTGGCAGCTTGAACAGGAATTTATGTAATTATGAATGTCTGTTTTCAAAGTCGGCCAGTAATAATAATAACGGATTCGGTTGTAAGTTTTTCCAGTGCCTTTATGGCCGGCAAATGCCGAGACAGTTTTCGACAATAATGTCGGTCCATCGGTGAGGGGGAAGAATGATTTCGTGTGAGTACGCAAAAACTTGTGTAAATGTCGGTAAAAGAAGGTCGATAAAGAAGGATGTCTCATAATGCCAGGATATCGAATCTGGCGAGAATTTCTATATGAATAGGATTTGTAAATTGAGTTCTGTCGCTACGTTGATTAGTGAGCGTAAACACTAATTGTAAAAAGGGCCCCCATAGACGAAACATGCTGCGATGCATGCATCACTGATGCAAACACTAGCAAAAAATTATTGATGCAGGAATAGATTTCTAGTGTTAGTTGGACAAAGAAAGTCCGTTTCGGATTTAGCTATCCTCGTCGGTACGACTGTCATAAAACAACGGGCCGGATCGAGAATTTTCGCAACATTTTTGAATAAGTCTTGACTCATAAAAGATATCGCAATGAAATTTGTCATAAATATTTATAACAAATATTCGATGATATACAATATGATATATTTCATATTTGTTTAATCGCTGTTCCATTAATTTTATGTTTTAATGTTGTCATTCTTAAAATAGAATGGAGTCTATTAATAATATAATTAAATAAACTTTTTGTTTTAATAGAAAATTTTTATTACAAAAAGATTAATTATAACAATTTCTTTATAATTTATGTAAAATGTAAAATTAAAATGAAATTAATTTGAATAACTGAATTAAATGTTATTATAATATAAAGTAATAAATAATATATTATATAATTGATATTATAAGAACTAAATTATAAAATTTTCTTTATAATATTATTTTATTGAAAATAAAATGTAATATCATGTGATATGTTATTAAGACCAATAAGGAAGTGTGAGGGAGGTTTCCAAAATATCTCATTGCCACCCATGAAGTAATTCGAGTGGGATGGCAATTCTGGGAAATGGTCCCATTTTCTTCTGGAAACTGTTCCATTGTTTGCACAACTCCTCAGGTATGCACATGTTTCTGACATGGCAACCCCTATGTTGCGAGAGATCTCATTGTATTTGAGACTAACTAAATTTATGGGGCGCCTACTTTGGAGTTTTCTAAAAAAGAAATATCGCTGTTTTAGAAAACGTAACGAAAATTGTAGATGCAGCCCATTGTGCGCCGCGACAATTTGCGACAACTCGGAGCCTTACCATGTGCAAACCATCTGTACAGTACTATCTAGACCAGGGATAAGCAACCTTTTTTTACAATGGGCCAGCTACAAATTTAAAAATGTTGTGCGGGCCGCATGTAAGAAACTTATGAAAATACAAACACTGAATAACGAACTCAAATTATCTCTTTATTAACAAAATAAACTTAGTATAAAAAAATTACAGAAATAAAACTCTCATTAATAGAAATACTGTTAAAAAAACGCCGAAAGATACATGTGGAAAAAGATTATTTAATGAGAGAAATTTGGCATTGCTTCTTTACCATCAGTTGATCTATATTTGCAGATATAGACGACACAGCAAACTCGCACGCAGCTTTCTAACCGTACATCATTTAATCTCGATCGATGATCGCTTCTAATTATTTTCATTGCAGAAGATGATTGTCCGCAAACATAGGTGCTTCCAAAAAGTGTCATTATTTGCTTTGCATGTACGCCTAGTCGTGGGAATTTTTCTAAATTTATGTTTATTCAACATTCTGAAATTTATTTCTTAAATTCGTGTCGTTTTGTAAATCTATTAATTCCATTTGTAACTAATCCGGAACTGTTTCCACGTCTATATTAAGTGGTGAAGAAAAAATGTTAAAACTAAGAACGGTTTTTTTTT